ATATAATATATACTTGATTTTAGTAACATATTAAGTTGCACGGTTATTATCTGAACAATTCTGTTTATACATAAAAATAGATCAAGCCCGTCTTTTCCTAAGACACCTTTAACGCGTGCCTATCCAAACCTAAGGAACTATCTATACAAATCAACTTTATACAGATAACTTTATCGTAACTTTATACGACTTGACGAGTATAAATATGTGACATATCAGGCGCACAACTAGCCCCTACCATGATGGAAAACATCCATTGGGCATTGGCAGTCGTTATCGCATGCCACGAAAATGCTCTTTCAAGGCGTAACTAATATAATTGTTGCCCAGATAGCCGAACTACCTCCAGATACATAACCGCATAAGAAACGATCTAGTGTGCTTTTTCTCCGGGTAGAACCACACTTAGGCTCATGCACAGAGCCGGCCACCGAAACAATGTTCAACGGTAGTACCGAACACTGAACCTGAAGTTATTATGTAATCGAATGCGTCTTTACAGTCACCAAAAAATGAGGTTTTTTTTTTCACAGTGGGTCAAAACTAGCAGCAACATAGTTCACACAACTGCAATGCGAATAACCAGCGAGTAGTCAATAAGAATAAATAGAGCCAATTGTTTCTATTAATTCTGTAAAACCTACTATCAATTCACGGTAACGGTCCTAGGCACAGAAGGCCACACGAAAAGCATTTCTGCCTCGGCCAGGGGTGACGCAGGCCTGGTAAACTAAACCGAAGTCGACTGGGTGTCTCTCAGAGCAAACGCGAACAGCTGTACATTAGCTTAAAAGCAAAAAAGGACAATATGCGCATTCTCTAGTTAATAAACGATACAGAAAGTGCGATTTTTCGTTTTCAACCTCGTGAAATAGAGTGGTCGATGATTCAACGAACGAAGTTCCGCTAGAGTCCTTCGTTGAGGACGACAACCTAGACGAAAGATGTAAAAAAACACGGCGTAAAGCATAAAAAGTACATGACCGAAACGGTACGGATTTTCGCGAAAGCGTCAACAAACAAACAAACAAATCGTTGAACTCACACCAAAAACCGAGACACGACCAAACATGAATTAATCAAACGAAGATGTTGCTTAGTAATGAAGTGCTTTCTTATCCATCATTTCTATTATTTACACGCGTTTTTAAATGTATATTTCGCTCATAGTAAGTAGCAATTACCACGGCCTCTATATAGGCGTGTATTCGGGTGCAAAGATAAACATCATTATTGAACCAAAGTTGCTATAAAGATTGTTGTATATATATTTAAAACGGTAAAATAAACGAGAGAATTCTGACATATCAATTTCAGTTTTTGGGCTTTCGGGTTTCTGGCGAAAGGAATCGCATATCTAGAGGTAGACTTCATCGGCGTAATGCGTATAGGCTCATTGTTGTAAAGTGCTACAATAAATTGGGCCTAATACCTAGACGTTGTTGTCGTGGGGGCGAGCGCAATACAGATAGATAGCAATAATCCGCCGTATATTTAATAGACGGTAGACATCTCAGCGTGTGGCTGTTCAGATAAAATTTCATAATTAAACAAGTCCAATGTGCTGACAAATAGCAAAGGAAAGAAATCATAACACCGTAAACGTAAAGCGTTCACTGAACCCCGCAAGATAATAGCGTCATACTCTGTGGATTAATGGACGTCTTCATCATTATGAGTGATTTTGAAGAAAAATCAGAGTACACATTGTCTGATGAGTACGCCACGTAATTCTGTAGTAAAATGATCAATCTTAGCATTGGCTGGTGTGTTAAATGCTCTGTCTTCTGGCTCTATACGTCTTACATTTGAGTGGCAGCAAGGTAAAACGGTTATCGCAAACGTATTATCTAGCTGTATGACTTAACGGCAGAAAACATCCACACGTAAATCATATGAAAGACAATGTCCTATCAATAAATGCGGCACAGGTATTATGTGGAAGTTCCTGAAAAAAGTACAAACGATGCCATTATTGTACATGGTTGATCAATTTATAATGTAATAGCTATTAACCTTTGCCCTATTCATTTTTGAGCTGATGTAGAAAAGCGTATGGACTATTCTGGTTCAAAATACTTCTCTAAGACCTTATTTTCATTCATCTTATTTGAATGCTAATCAATTTTGACAGTCGATGAAGAGCTGTGTCTCTCTTGAATGTAACGGTTGTCAACAGCTAACGAGCTTTATTTTTTGCCATTGAGCTTATCGGACAAAAGCACGAGCTTAAAAGAAGGCCCATGCCCCACTATAGGTGATTTTTTATTGAAACGCTATTTTAGGACAAAAAGAAGCTCGACTAGTTACTAGTACAAATCTGATCTAAAGACGCAACGAATAGTACTTTTTTACGATGAAAACTAGCAGGATCCTTAAGGCCTATAATCGGTAACTAAACGTTTCGGTTCTAATCGAGTAAAAGCCTTTATAATCCAATGATATGCTTCGTTTAGATCAGTTTATGTCACCCCCATAATATTGCCGAATTAGGCTTTTCAACCATCGTCAACAACGTAACGCTACAAATCCGACTCCAAACGTCTGTTGAACTTGTAAAGAGGCTCTGACAACGGCTACCTTTAACCGGACTTTGCAAGATGGCGCATGAAGTTGATTCGACTGAAGAAACCTCCGACGATACTGATGAGAAAATACGTACGAATCCCACGAAAACCTTACAAGAACTGAATAAGACTAACACGGTGAGGTTCAGTAAACCTAATGAATCAGCCCAAACGAAATCTGTCGTGAGAAACGCGCAGGCGAAGACTCTTAAAGGAAAGGGTCAGAGAACGTGCTGCACGATATTCTGAGTTGCGTGCTGCCATATTCAACGTTACGGCTTTGTCGCGTTGCATTCGTTTGGCTGATTATTAGAACTAAACACATCATTACAGAGATGCTTTTAGACGATTATCTCTTGTGGAGGGAGGAGTTTTATCAAGTCGATGTGTGAAGATGGCGCTTCCATTAAAAATTCAAAACTTTTAGAAGCGTGAACAGTGAACGCCATAGATGATAGCAGGTCACTGGCAGACATTGGCTTTCAACCGATATGTAACATTATGTGGTGATAAAGTATGTGGACACGATGAGTCCATTTGTCAGTGCCGATGCCAACGGTTTCATTTGTGCCGATTTTTGCCAATCTCATTGGCTGAGCAAACAAATATTTCGTTGTAAACAGTAGTTCTGTATTGTCATTATTAAGCGATTTTTAAAGTTTGTGACCTGCTGCCAGAGTGAACGTTCGAAAATCGGAAAGAGCGGTATACGCGTATTAAAGCTGTCTAAAGTGCGCATGCACGGATTTTTGCCTTTTTGCGTGTAGGGGTAGGTTGGGCTATATGGAACAGCAATTATTTGGTATAGCATGGTTTTCATCGTAGCAAGGAGACGTTGGTCTCCTTGCTATCGTAGCTATTTGGTTGCATATAGGCTACAAACTTATTGTTTGTTTTTATGCGGGTTCTAAACGATACGATTTCGATAGGAGTGAATTGAAAGAATCTCAGTAGGATTTAGATTTAACGGGTAAAAGATAAACGGAAAAATTTATTAAAATAATAAACCTTGATTTTCGATGTAAATATTCATAGCCGGTTTTAAAGAATATATAATCGCCAGTTGGGTCGTTTCCATAAACCCCAATGGTTAACCTTTTTGAGACTTATTACACGTTTTCGAACTTACTGGAACTTTATTCTAATACCAGCTCATTTATTGGCATTACGTATGATGACATTATCGTCGACAATCGTAGTACTGAAAAAAACAACCTAGTTTTTTTAACTTGTAACGTTGTCTGCAGGCAAGACCGTATCGTAAAATTCCTATTTGACGTACATAAAAGCTTTGTTCTTCGAAAAACGTACATAATATAGAAATTTAGGTTAGCTCTTATGCGCCATGTATCTGTCTCAATTCCTGACTCCCGTATGCAGTGTGGGGTTGAACGTTTAAACTTTTTAGCTGAAACAATCTGCTGTTATGGTTGTTGCGTTATAAAGTTGTGAATGAAATGAAACGCCAACGCCCAAGTGGTCATAACAAAGTTCTTTAGCGAAGCAATAAAAATTAGCAAAACTAACATAAACGAAAAATTTATTACCTCCTCAAAAACATATTTACTGTTTCTAGCCGCCCTCGGCACTGCTCCATCAAGGGGGCCTCAAAAACGGTAATTGAAGGTTTCACGAGATTGCTACAAGATCCACGAAGCGTACTTCGTTTACTTGCAAGGTTATTGCTACAATGAATTTTATCAATGACGAAGGGTACTGGGTGTCACTCTATGCAGAAACCATTGTACGCTGGGTTGGGACGAACGGATTTATACTTACAGTTCCGCCCTTTTTCATCACAGCAGTTGTAATGATAACTTTCAGGCGCAAAGGAAGACGCCTTTTTTTTTTTTGTTTTTTTTTTTTCGTGCAACATACATAGGTCGAGTTTACTTTGAGTAGAAAAAAGACGAAGCCAACCGATTATCAATTCAATGTTTGAAGAAAGAGTCGAACCAAAAACATCGCTACCGGCCGTTAATTTCGAAGCGAATTTCACGTCGGGATTTTCTAGTTAGAAGCATAAGTACTTGATAGCATAGAATGAAACGGGATCAAATTTAGATGGTGAAGTTTGAAATTAGTAATGTAGATGCGAAGTTCGTGCCAGACTAGCAGGCCAAACAGGACCAGCGTCGCTATTACTGATGCTATAAGCTAATTGGAAAACACTAAGAAGGAGTGACGATGTTGAGTGTTGCTGGGACTGGGTAAGCTTCCAGCACCCATTAGAGGAAAATATTAGGAGCGCCTAGGTTAACATCCTCCAACTAGAACTACGACAAGCAGACTTGTTGGCATAGGGAATAATGGCCCGTTTGCTGGTTCTCGAATAAATGACATAATCGTTACATCTGCGATAAAATATTTTTAGACAATTAAAGCTTCTATGGATAGCCGGCCTTCCATATCCGATCAATGACGAAATTATCGTATAATTCACTGCAATAGTTCGGACGCTGCAGGCACTGCGTCGGGTCGCGCGTGAATGAAGTTTAACTCTAAGGGCTCCATAACTAAGCCAGTTGTCGTCAGTGAGTGAACCAGGCAAATGAGGCTACGAAGCGATCAAACTGAAGAATCGAGTGGCCCTGACAGCGCATCTGTAGGTAGTACCACACAATAATTTATTATAAACGCATCTTTCTCGGATGTTCAGAAACGAAGTTTCCATCATCATTCGATTTCCAGGATCGCGCGGCAGTAAAGGTGCACTCCTTCATCCTAAATGAAGGCCGTTTAGTGTTGTTAATGCAATCACTTCTATCGTCCGTAGTATTCAATTAAGGTAAGCAACTTGCGAGCTTGACAGTTTGATATCTCTACGAATGACTCTGATCGAAAGACGAAAATTGAAAACATGAATCGACACTAGTAGCCTGCTGTTAACGTATTATAGCTGTATCATTCGATAGGTATTGAATTAGATGAGTAGAGAACAAGGCCAGCATCTATCTTAAAATGATCAGTGTACTAAATCACACATGTTTGCACAAGAGAACCTTATGATGCGACTTTGGTTGCGAAATATGGCGCTTGATTGTAAAGAAAAGTGTTCCTATAACGCTGCAGTAGTAGTAACTTGTTTGTTGACATAGATAAGGTGCTTAACTACAGTACCGGATATAGAAAACGAAAATTCATTAACAAATAAAAAGCGAAACTTCTCTATATTGACGTTATCGTAGTGCCCGTTAACGTGCATAGCGATAACGTTGCCAGCGTGCTGTTCTTTTGCATGCAGACGCATGGGTCTATACATATTAAGGTATAATATGATGTTCAGCAAGCAAGCAAGCTAGAGACTTAAACACGTCTAATAAAATGAGCATCTGCCCTGTCACGGGTCTACTGTGTTCAGTTTTACGTCCGGTGTCGCTCTTAGGTGTTCCGCCAGACAGACGGCTAACTTTCAGTACCAGACGAAGTCCGTCAATGCCCAAGTTCGAACTTAGACCACAACGTATCGCCAAGATTAGCAGGTAAATACGTTATCTATTAAGCTGCCGAGGGAAGCTCTTACCTACCGGCGATTCACTATTGCTGGTCACGCTATTCGCCTCGCTGGCTATATATAATTCTACCGGATGACCCTAAAAAGTAGTATGTATAGTTGTATAACTACTATTAATTTATTAATAATAATATTCCATGCTTTTCTATTGTGAATACATTGCTTCCTTACCTCTGATCTAATCTCTGAGTGTTTCCCGTCTTTGTTATGCTTGCTCATCAACACAGATACTCGCGATTTTTTTTCGACGCGTTTACATCTCTCAACCACCTTCGTAGCGGCCATTCCACCTAAGTTTGTTGACCTGTTCAATTTTCCCGCGCTTTTATCGGCAGCAAATTTTCTTCGCTATTATACATTTTAATAGCTCTATCCTAAAGTCTACTGCATCGTATCGAACATTTGTATCATTCATGTATCTAATTCTTATGCGGAGCAATAAAAAAAGCTGTCGAAGTGGTCATTTCACTACGCGTAAAAATTAGCTATTTACGATAAAATTCTGAAGTTAAATAACCAGAGATCACTTTGAATTATTCCGTCCTAACTTATCAAATCGGTGTTCTTTAAACTCCTATGTTTAATGGTCTAGACCTTGTTTTATTCCGCACATTTTGAAGCGTGCTTGATAAAATAGGTTATTCAACAGACGATGTTATAGTGTTGGCCGACACGTAGCCTCTTTTGAGGCCCTGACCAACATTCAATCTGGAATGCCTCAAAACTTCTGGCTCTTAGGTCTTTCACTATTACGATGTAGTGAGATGCGTGAACACTCGCAGCCTTCATATAGGTCCTCCGCATTGTTGGTACGTTGTTAACGTTCCTACTTCGTAAGGGACCCCGGTCTTTTCTTCGTCAAACTTCTAACGGAGTGAGGTCGCGTGCAAGTGTACATTACCGATGTGTCATTAGCGCTCGTAAGAAAGAGATTTCGGTAAAAATGGTTCTACGCGAATGTCCCGGTTCAAATATGTGACTTTTTCAAAATTCATTTATAGCACTAGCTTTTCAGTCATAGGAAAGACGACAACCTGACTATCCTGCTAATGGTTTTTGCAGCTCCACGCTTTGACGATGACAAACGTGGGCGATAACCGAGATAAGACAACAGATGTCAGGAAATATAATATACAAAAATTCAGAAGCCCTCAAAAAACTCTATGACTCAGAGTGAAATTTGATGATTTTATGCCTGCAACATAATGGCAATATTGAGCTATTACACCGCTTTAGAGCTCTGCAGTAATATATGCTTTTTCATTAAAGGTATTTTTCCTGTAGTGATCCATAATACCGTCGCATTGAAATTACCCTTCACGACAGAGCGAGAAAAATGAAGCCATATGAGACTCAGGTTCGCAGCAAATACTGAAGACAATGAAGGTAGCTTGAAGGGTCTACAAGCAATGTTACCGTGCGAAATGCCTTGTCTTTGCAAAAATTGAGGTCTGTTGGTCCGCTGAAGTATGATTTCTATGTTCATTCTCCGGAGCGAGCTTTCAAAAGATAACAAGTACAATCCCTCCAATCGGACTCTCTCGTCAAAAGATTTTCATCGCCTGCATTTCAGATCGATACCGTTCTATAGATAGGTTTATGTAATGACAAGCTTGTACTGGCGATCACAAATGTGCATCAACAATTAACCTTTAATTCTGCTTATATCTTTATATGTTAACGTAACTTCTAAAAAATCATCTGTTTTTCCAGAATCGAGAGATGCGTTAGATATTTTGTCTGTTTTTGGAGTGAGCCAGCTATCAGTCCTACCCATGAAAACAAGAGATTCCATCGAGACTATGGAATACCCTGTCCACGGGAACTTTCTAAACTACCTACTAATAATCATCACTCTATTTAGAGAGTTGCACCCCGCGCACGAATTTAACGTCCGTTTACCGATGACTCGCTAAACGGATAAAAGTAGCACAGGTTTAAACGAAGTACCACAGTGCCATCTATAGTATTTCAGGCTCCTACATTTAAATGCTTTGTATTTTGCCGCTTATCGTAGAATCAGCTGTTCGATCTTCAAGCGCTAATAGCCAGCGCTATACTGTTGATGTTTTGGAGGTGACACAGCTCAAAAGAACTTGCAGAAGATATAGGGGATTAATAAGCGAGTTCTGATAGTCTTTCGGCGACGAAAAACAAGCGATTCCTCGTACTAGTTCAAGCCTCAATTAAATTGGAACATTGAAGAAAATTTTCTCTCGTTGCAAAAAGACTTCGAACAGCATGGACAAAGAACGTGATCGCTGGAAGTTTTGTCCAGTGGTCGATATATATAGCGGTGCGTAGACGTTCAATAATTAAGTATCATGTCCACAGAATCTAACGATAGGGATTATAGAGGGATTAGAGGGACGTGGAGGCCTCAAGTGCTAAACGAATTGGAAAAGGCTGTAGTTGAAAGAAGCTGCCAGAATGAATAATTCACTTCAAGAACTGTGGGTCAATGTTCGACGCGACAAGGCACTACAAAAAGTTGGTGGTCGCCCCAGGACGCAAGTAGCACTAAGCTTCGCCCTGTTAAATCAACAGGGAGATTACTATTCGTTAGGGGCCCTATCTCTCTTATATCGTCAAGACAAGTGGCAGCTCTCAGCGACCCGACGTACGAAAAGCAAAATCCTGTATAGTGATAGGAACGTAATGTTGACGGTTATCTTGCATAGCAAGAAATATATAATCCAGTTTTAGCTTCCCCTATTTTTGATTACCATTAAAATGGATTTATTAATGTTATGTAAGTAAGGGAAGTTTTCTATAGTCCCCATTCCAAGTAGGGAAGAGGCTAGTGAACCGATCGATTGAATCTGACGGGAAGTGATTAAATAACTGTATTAAACTTGTACTCACTAATATCTCGAACACCAATGCTTTCAGACGGGATCAAGCACGGGCTTATCTCTATACGTCTTGGCTAGCAGTAATAATTGTGACGGATCCTATTTTATCAATCAATTATGTTTATTTATGTGCGGGTCCAGCACATCGATATCTGATTGGTGAGCTTAGTTGGGCGGACGTACCAAGATTATATTTGAAACCGAATGATCGATTTAATCTAACAGGAACAGTTTTATTTCTGTACTTTTATCACGACGATGTACACAAACTGAGTAAAAGCTTCAGTGGTCGGATAATCGAAATACAAAGCAGTTGTTTATTATAATGTTATTATATTACGGGTGTGTATAGACTAATTCAAACGGGACAGGCGACTTGGACTGCCAGCGATACGAACGACAATTCTGCTGGTGGATAGGTATACGAGGCGCTAAAAATAAGAGCTTATTTTTGATTCCTTAGTCCCTCCGTACATTACCTAACTGATTATAAAAACAGCGAAGCGTGAGTGTCCAATGTAATGCTGCATGGGCTAAAATGACTGAAACCCACCAGCGTCCATGAATACTGAAAAAACTCTTTAAGACCCACAATGTAAAACGGGTTTGGGGAAATTGGGGGACAGCAAACATTGCTGGCATTTTTTTTTGCGGGCTTTTAATACGACCCAAGCTTTACAAGTATTTGTTTGTAGGGAATTTTTAAGTCTCAAAACGTTGAGCAGAAATTGATAGGAGTCTCTATTAGGCATCTTGAAAAGAATGAAGTCTGCGCCAGTTACCGACAGTGTTTCGATATCTTATGAGGCGGAATGGGTTACTGTTAGAATGCCACACCACCGTAAAGTTGTAAACATATAACAAGCGTAATCTGTGTATTTTATCCTGTTTGCGATGAGTTATTAATAACCCAGACATTGTTGGCTTCGGCTTAAATTTCAGATTCACTTTTTCCTACCCGGCTCCAAATGCGGGTCAGGCTTTAATCTACTCGTAGTCATCTTTTGCGCCATGAAATTAGTACGGATGATAATTTTTACGTAATCCTACGTTTCTGCTATAACCTTGATGACGCAAATGTTTAATTAATCTACACACAACATAGAAGCAAGCTTGGTATATTGATTTAACCCGGTGGTATTTCCATTTTCTGGTTTCCATGAAAAGTCTTCATGTCATCGACTTCACTATTTCGAATGTACGCTGCAGTCTACTAAGCTAGTTATTTCCTTTGATTGCAGTCACTCGCCCGTCCTCTCAGGCCATTCAGCATTAAATGACAAACGTTGTTGCAAAGCCTGTATTATTTGCTAAATTACAAGTTGGTCATACAACAACTACCCCACCGGCACTACGAAACAATCATCGCCCAACGTGGAAATACGATTGAAACCTTAAAGAGGCTGACAAGTTGAAACGCGCCTGTTGCCAATAGCCGAAAGGCTTATACATCCGTCACACAGGAGTAACGTAGTACAAGTTTCAGAATTAAACACAACGAGCACCACATCCTCTTGCATGAAACTGCGGATCGATTTTCTACTAACATTGATCATAAACATCATAGGCTCTCAATAGGTAGCTTTCAATAAAACCGTAAAGATAATCCTGAATCAGCTTTAATTAGCATAAATAAAGTTGGACTCTTTTGTCGTCAGGGGACGGTACGAATGGCGTATGGGATCCAAAAACCTATTTCGAGCAGAATTCAAATTTATGACGTATAGTGACTGAACGGCAGCCGTCATAAAGGGTCACATGTTGTTTGTCATATCGAAAAATACAAGCTGTTCCTTACACTGCCTTTGTAGAAGAAAAAAATCAATGTCCAACCGCTCATTTTATGCTTTTTCTAATATCTCTTAAACTTGGATATCACATTTGATCTTCAGTCGGTCGTTGCACGCCGCGTATTAAAAAAAAATTATTTATTTAAAGATCAAATTAGCGCACATACTGTTACGCACAACTTCAGCTGTCGTGGTTTTATCATTCGAATCGAAAAGATAGGGAAGAAATGAGTGCGATCCGGTCTGTTTTTTCATTTTCCAATAGCTTTTCTGTGTTTTCCGATAATACAATATAATGCTGGTATCGAGCTTTCAGCACTAAACCCGACATTGTACTTAAAAGTAGCGAATTTGCGCGGATCCTAAAGACTTGTAAAAGTTAGTCCATTTATGGTTTCAATTACGAGCACGACATAAGCATCAATCTAACATGGCTTATCATTTTACAAGCTTTGTCAAAGAAAAGACCTGTCACCTTAAAATAAGCATAGGCAGCTTGCGAAGCGTGTTATTATCGTGGGCGCAACGAATCGTCGTTTACAGAAATATAGTCTAGACGCTTAATGGCGAACTTCGAAAGGGGCCGGTTTCATATGCAGCAAGCTCTCTTGTTCTCGTTGACTAGACGAGGCTGATGATCAATATGGACAAGACGGAAATCATGAAATATCGTTGCGGACGCCGCCTCGTTGCTGCCGATGCGCTCCATTTAGGCAGGACGGCTTTGAAGTATGTAAACCAGTTTCAAGTCTCTGAATGTGACTTTACATATAAAAGGCCGAACTTCGCAGAGCGCATCACGGCGTAGACTATGTCAGACGATGGTGGCGAGTGTGGGTATACAAACTGCTCTTCCCCTACGAACGCCGCTAGGCCGATTCGGAATTGAGGTGGTTCCGGTAGCTTTCTACGGAACCCAGGTAATATGGGAACACGTTTTTATTGACACAACTTACGAACGAATTAAACTCGCATTTCTAAAATGCGCCGTGGGACTGCATCGCTCTTTGATCAAAGGATATACATACTTTCTAGGCAACGCGCCGCTATTTATAAAGGATCTACAACGCAGAATTACCTCGGCTTATTTGGAGTTTATCGGTATACGAAAGACGAACTGTAAAGGGGGACGAGCAAAAGTAATTGGTTTCACAGAGGTTTGTTTATAGGATGATCTATCCAAGAGGTTGACTCCAATTAAGCACCATACTATATGTTGACCAGAAAATACGAAGAGTCAAACAATGTCTAGTCGGTTACTGGGCGTAATCGAATGATTATATAAATTCAAGTCAGCGTAGAATTGTCAAGATTTGCTAGGTTTACCAAAAACTGTTAGCATTGCGCAAAGGTCTTTAAGGTCACAATTTCCTGCACTTGTTGGTGGTAGAGGTGACGGGGCTGTAAACACAACAATCAGTGTACGGAGGGTTTTCAAGCTGTCGACAGCCACGGTAATGATAATCGACTCAAAGGCGTCAATGACTGTTGTATGCGTGAACTGATATTTACCATTTAGTAGGCATCAATTCACGTATGGTTCACGTGGTGCATCCTGTATAAGCATTCAATGGACCCTAGCCTCTTGGTGGGTGGTGTTTTCATGGGCATGCTTCAGCGACGACAATAAATGCACGAATATGACAGATAGCACACCAGAATCACTAACGACAGTTGTTCATGGAAGGCTCCTGTGCAAATACACATATCTAACTTTGTGTGATATCCTATGGAGAGTGCTAGAAGGGTCGGAAATGCCGCCCAGAGCGCAGTTGCCTTCAACCTCACTTCTAGAGGGTGGCAGTTTTGCAAAAGTAAGTAAGCTTGCTGTAAGCATGAGGTATATATAGTACGAAAAAAGCTACTCATATGTGGCATAATATTCCTCATTGAAAGCTTCTGTCACTTTTTTTAGCTTTTATAGAGCTTTGAGATTATTCTCAAAAAAAGTAACTTCTTATATTATTCAGTTTACTTGATACATAGTCGTGGCGGGGTAAGGTTGTTATTTTTCAAGCTTGTTTAAGAAATCTCGTTTTCGGTAGGTAAAGGCAATCTATTTTCAAAAATGTTTTTATTCTTGGCAAGTCGACTGATCACTTAGATCTCAGAGTAGTAACCGGCGATACCGTCACTGCGCCTTTAGCGAGTGCAAACTCATTTTTGTTAGAAATAATTAGAGCAAGTATTGCGCTGTTTTGGCCACAGGATCCTTAGCGGCACATATAGGCTAGTTCCACCCAGATTATTGCTAATTCTGAACAGGTGAATACACCATTAGTACATCATCTTCTTTTATTTATATATCATACAGCTTACATAAGGAAGATACTTGAGATTACATACAAACGTAGTTGATTTATTTATACACGGAAACATAAGTGAAGTAGAGGACTAAATTAGTTTTCGCTCATTGGGCTACTTCAAGGTGTTAGATGGATCTTTTGCAATCTATGCACGTACAATCTGTGAATGTAGTAGAAAAAAAATAACAGAATGTTTGCAAACTTCTTTAAAAGACTTACATTTTATTTTGAACACAGGGACAGTAGTTTGAAGTACGGTGGTGGTCCTTTTCTAGAGTATATTGCTTAATTTCGAAATACCTGCGCTCCTCGTTATGGTCTCCATGTGAGTTTAATTCCGCAAAGATTCTAGAAGATCTTGGGACTCCTGGGTGTTTCCATACGACTGATACCAAGGTACCAGATGCCAAATGAAAACATCAGATAAGTATGAATTAGCCAAAGGTTGCTTAACCTTTTTCTGCCATCCTATTACATCATTTATTTTCTAAGAAATACTTGTTTCACGTTGGAACGAAAATCCTATCACAACCAGTCGTCCAGATTATGCCGTCTCGTTTGTTTGGCATTCGGCCTCCGCAAAAAAGAAATGTCGATAAAAGGACGTTACTGTATCGCTTTCAATGGAATTTCCTGGTGTTAAGAGTATGTCAAAGTAACAAGTAATACTTTCAATAAGTTATGACACCCTGTCAGGGGGAACTGTGTGCGTTTGTCCGCTACCTCTCTAAAAACTTTAAGCCCCACTAAACACACCGGCAAAATAAATATCTATTTTTTAATGCTGGAGCTTACGTTGTAGGCATTTTAAAAGGAGACGGTGTATATAGGGTGAGTGCTGAGAGACTCACTTAATAAGCGAAAGATTAATTGACCCTCCTAGCCCCGTAAGCAATTTTAAAAATAATCCAACTACTCCCAAAAGTCACATAAAGTCTGATTACTGAAGATTCCTGCACCATGCATAATAACACGGTCACGTTCAGCACCCGTGCTT